TTACATGATATTGCCACATTTGAACTACAACATATTGAGTTGCTATAAAAGAGTTGATATGGCATTATAAACTAATGTAATACATTGCTTTTTATCTTTCTTTCTTTTTTCTAACTTATATATTTCATCTTTTGGCATGATTATATCTCTTTGACATAATTTGAAACTTGTGTGTTATCTCGGTGAACGTAGGTCTGTCTGTTGGATCATATGACCAACACTCTTCCATTAGTGTCTTCCATCCATGATCACAATGTTCCGGGATTGAAGGCCTCAATGTATTACTCACAATCCCACCTTCATAAAAATTTTGGAGGTTCAAATTTTAATAAATAATAATTTCTACATATATAAAATGTCATTACAAAAACCTATTGTTGAGATAATGATCCAATTTCATGAATATTGTTACATAACACTTTTGGAGTACCCATTGGAATGACCCGTTAAACTTCTCACAATTTTGAACTAATATTTTTCATTGTCTTCTAAATGCAAGAAATAACAATGTACTTTCATTTATTTATCTTTGTTTCTTTCTATTACAACAATGTACTTCAATTTAACCAAATAAATAAATAAAAGTACATTGCTATTTCTTGCATTAAACCCTTCGATTCTAGTTTTAAAAAAGTGAGAGCTTACCTATAATGGCTCCACAATGCATGTCTGCATACGGCTCCTCTCCGGTCAAGATCTCCCACATTGCAATCCCAAATGAAAATACATCAACCTGACAACAATCATAGAGATTAACAAAAAAAAACAATCGTATAGGGTAATTTACTATTTTGCCCTTACTTTCTCAGAAACCCTAGTACTGCTACCATTCAAAAGCTCTGGGGCCATCCATGGAAGTGTTCCTCTTACTCCACCCGACACAAGCGTGTTTCGTTTAATTCTTGATAAACCAAAATCACCAACCTGGAATTTAATTGTATTTTAAATGTAATATTTGTTACTTGAAATATTATAAATTATAAGAAATTAGATATGGATTACCTTGCATACGGGTCTATGAGGATCCCCCAAATTAACAAGCAAGTTTTCACATTTTAAATCAAAATGAACAATGTTTTTCCAATGCAAATACTCCATGCCAATTGCAGCATCTTGCATAATTAGAAGCCTCTTTCTCCGATCAAACGATCTGCAACATATATGTTAATTCTTCATATCCATCTTTTTATTTTTTCTTTTTTGTTTTTCTAATAAGTAATAAGTTGATGTTCAACTTACTTATCTTTTCTCAATAGAACATGTCTAAGTGAACCATTAACCATATATTCAGTAACAGTGGATAATGTTCCCCCGGGTCCATCTGACACCACACCATAAAGTGCCACCACATTTGGGTGGTGAAGTTTTGAAAGTATTTGAGCTTCTCTCCAAAAGTCTTTAGTCTAATAAAAGAATCATGGATCAAATCTAATCTTTATTTATATATAATTTAGGTTAGATGCAAGAAATATCAAATTACCAATCGCTCTTGCTCTGATTTTTTTGCTGAAAAACAACTTTTTTTAATCCTTTTTATAGCAACGTCTGTTCCCCTCCATTTACCATGATAAACAGTTCCAAATGTACCAGATCCTAATTCACGTAGTTCTTCAAGATCAGCATTTTTTATGATCTGCATCTATGGAATCCTTAGTTAAAATAAGCTATTTGATTTAAGTTTTTTAAACTTTTATTTATTCGCCCTATTTGTAACAGGAGAAAGCATGAGTTACATCACCTGTAGACCATGCATTCCAGCTTCAACTTCAGCTACTGTTGTATGGTGTTCACCCTTTACTCCTTTATCATCCTCAACATCCTAAAACTGGAGATTAATCAAATTGACCAAAAGAAAATTACTAAATAAAATGAATTTCTATCAATAATTCACCTTGTTATGAGATTGAGCAACAATCTCATTTTCTCTGTTTCTAATTACTAAAACTCCATCGCTTGATTCGTCTTGAACATATGGCATCATTGCTGCAGATGAAGGGATGCCAGGTGGCCGATTATCAGTTACATCTTCAACAATAACAGGAAACTCTTGCACACTATCGTTTTCCACAAAGCTTCCAAAACGAGAAACATCGTTACTAATGGCAGAAGAAACAGCTGTACTTGTAATGATGACGTCATTCATACGAGGGGTATTTTCGTAATTCGATCTCGAAATGGACCTACTTCCGCTTCCGTTAGATGATAAGAGAACACAATTTTCAGCATACACGTCAGCAATTCCCATTTCTGCTGATGTGTCATGATGCCATCCGGAAGATAGGTTGAAGATTGCGTTGCTACTTTCTGTTCTAACGACATAATTTTGTTTATTTGAAGGAGGATATACAATGTTGTGCTGATTTTGATGTGGGTCCCTTATATCTTGACTCCATTCAGTATATTGATTGCTAAAATCAGAAGTTATGATAGTTGGAGGAAAGTCAACTTCAGATGTTTGACTTGTCTTCTTTATCATCTCTTGATGCACGAAGAAAGGGTTTTCATGTTGGGTAGGCATTAAAGATTGAACCATGTAATCTGCTCATAACGATAGTAGACAAGGGCAAAATAGTCAAATGATGAGGATCAAATGAGAAATTAAGGTCATAAAACATACCAGATTTATCATGCGGGAAAACAAACTTTTTTGGCTGGATTGAAGATTCATTATTTACAGGTGTTTGAACATCAACATTGTCATGATAAGAAGTAAGATCAAGATGATAAGAGCTCCCATATGATGGTTGTTGATCTACTCGATCTCCATAATTAAGCTGACGTGGCATTTGAGTTGGCATATATGATGTCATCACATTAACAGGAGTCTGAATCACCTGATTTTGATTTGTTAAATTTGTTAAATTCATCAAATTCAATGAACTTCCTTCAATTGGTTGAAGAGTTAGAGAATCTTTACTAGAAATCTTGCGAACACATTGATCTTTCATGCCATTTACAGCAACCACATACTGAATAGAACTTGAATCATTAGAATCTGAACTCTCGGGGTCGTTTAAATTTATAAGAAAAATACGTAATCTTTGAGACCCTTTTTCAAGTTCATGATATTCATCAATCATATGGTGAAAGTCTTCATTAGAACATACGGATATTAACGCATCAAGATCTTCATCTGGAAGTTGATACTTTATTGTATGAGGGTGGTTGCAGATATATGAAGTTTTATTTATAAGTTCTTGATAATTTAAATCTTTTCTAATGGATATAATCCGTGTCTCCCCTCCAACATATCTAAGCTTCCCATCACTTGGCCTTGGTAATATTTTCCCTCCAAAACTACATAAAAATTTCATTTTTCCAGAAGAAGAATAATCAGAATACGCATATTTTTCTACTTCAATTGGAAGTTGAAGTCCTATGTGAGGATGATCTTCATAAAGAATTTGTGGGTTTGGATTGAAATGAAACCCTGCTTTCTTTTGTTGGTATGGATCAGTATATGTGTTATGATCTTGAGGGTATTCTAAGGGGCAATCTTCAAGATTTTCTAATAAGTTTCTTGTTGATCGAGTTTTTATGTAAACTTTTTGAGGACATTCTTCGGTTGTTTGTATGATTCTTCTAGGTGTACGTTCTCTTATAAATTCTGGGGAAAATTCTTCGCCTGTTTGTACAGAAAGATTACGTATACGGGAGTCTAAATCACTTTCACGCCTTGTTATACCATTATATACATAAGTGCCTGAACTACCCGAAATTTCATTTGTCATTGTCTCAAATAAAACCGATGATATAAAGATTGGTTAGCAATGAATTAGCATTATTGTCCCCTTGCAAAAGATGCACTTTATATGGGCTTGATATTCCAAAACAAGAGATGTTGTGGCAGGAAAATCTCAACTGAAATGGGTTTCGGATTAAAAAATATACCCTTTCAAGCTGTTGTTCTTCAATTTCTTATCAAATTATGAACAAAAAGGATGGCACGTCTTCATTTGACTCCAGTAAGTTACAATTCAAAGCATCCTGCAATCAGAAAACCACATATTGTCGTTTAGGTATTTCATTGAACAACTTATCAACAATCACATTGCATGGAAACCGACAAAAAGCATGGTCCATGGAGACCTTCTGTTTCTAAGCTTTCTTTGGAGAATTATGACATAAATTTGACATTCTCGTAGGAAACTTCAAAACATAAATTTAAGATGAATTATTGAGAATCGATGGTTACCTGCCATTTTCCCCATGGATTCAATTAGATTGAGGTTTCATTATCCAATCAAACCCTCATGGGGATCAGACAGAAAATTGGATTAGGGATTTCAGTTTTGTTTATTCATGAGGTGTAAAAAGATAGAGGCGGATTGATCTTTCATAATTGTCGGGATTACGCGCCACTAACCGATGAAAAAAGGAGGAGGCGGGTGGGGGCACCCTAACTAACTTATGAATTGGGATTATATGTTCATATGTTTTAACGGTTGGAAAGTTTAAGAGTTTTTGGTAAAGATAGGTAATTTTGAAATTGATAAAATGGGTTTTTTTTTTTTTTTTTTTGTGTGTGTGTAAAAATAGGTCTTTTTTGCTTGGGACCCAGGGTTTATTGACTTTAGAATTAAACAAAATTCAGATTTTATATTTTTTTTCCTTTAGCTTATATCATTAGTTTTTATATAGCTTTTGGACAAAATTGCAAAAATAATCCCTATAGTATGTAAATTTTAGTGTTTTAGTCCAAACTACGACTTTTTTGGATTAGTGGTATTTTGAGCTAGTTTCTTTGTGTTTTTGGTCCCTCGATAAACTGAAAATACTATTATGTCATTCTGATATATTTTTTTATGCTTATTCTATTTAATTTAAATAAAAAATAAAATAATTACCTAATTTGGGGCCCACCCCCCCTCTCTCTCTCTCCAATTTTCTGTGAAATTCAAAGGAGTCAACACCCTCCTAGTCCTTCAATCAACCTTACTGCCTTTCTTTTTGGCTGCACTGTTAAGAAACGACACCACTACTGGTGGTCTTGAACCACCATGTTGCACCACCAAACATCATCCAACCTTATCCTTCTACACTCTTCCTCTCGAAGACATGTTTCTCATAAAACGAAGAAGGAAACAAGAACCGCTAAGGGTAGCCACCCACGACTACCCACTGTCGCTAATGCTGTCGAGTTCCGACCATCACCGCCACCACCAAGTTGTTGTTGTCAGGGCACTCCAACCATCACTAGTCACCGAATTCGATCACCACCAATCTCCGTAGAGAGTAAGTCGTAAACAAAGCAACAGAAGCCGCCGGAATTCCACCACTCGCCTACATCATCGCTCGGTGCCACCACGTCTCCGTTACTATGAAGCTCCGCCGTCGTCAGCTGCTGCTTCCTCTTGACCCCTCGTCGAACTCATCGGAGCAGCAAGAAAATGAAGCAGTTGAAGCTACCGTCGACCGCCATTACATCCCACCACCAATGCAGTCCGCCACCATCGCCTTGCTGCCATTGGTAAGTCTATTCAAGATCATATGTTTCTCATGACACTAAATCCTTGAAACCCGATTATATGAGCCAATGATAATCAATGAAGTAGATCAATGGAGAAAATCTTCATTCCATGTAGCCGAGTACAGAGTAAATATGAAGTTCTAATTCCATCATCTTCTTCTAATTTCATCCAAAAATTAACCCAAATCAAGTTTCTTTTGGGCTTAAATTCGTCCCACCGGATACCTGCATCTGGATCGGTGGGCGGTGACTGGTGGGGACTGCCCACCACAACAACGACAGCGAGTAGTGGTAGCACAGCAACTTCGTTGCTTCTGTCTTCCCAGTACAACGGTGATCGGATAGGAAAAAAGGAGCAAGGATTGGGGTTTGTTTGGGGTTGCTCAGATCAACAAAAAAGAAAAAGAGATGGGGTGAGGCTGTAATGGTTCTATGGTGGGCGGAGATGTAGCGGTTCATGGTGGAGTTTGGTGGTCGAATGGAGGGTAGCAGGTGGTGTGGTGGCTATCTCCAGATTGTCGGAGGTAGCAACCCCTTCTTGTTCGTTGAAATAGGGAACGAAAGAAAGAAATGGTTATACGACCCGGAGAGAGAGAGAGAGACAGAGAGAGAGAGACTTTTATTTTTTTAATTACTTAAATAAATAAATAAGTATTTAGATTTTTTTTTAAAATGAAATAAATGAAAAATAAGTAAACCTAAGGGTATTACAATCATTTTACTATTTAGATGGACCAAAAACGCAATTAAACTGGTTTAAAAGGACCACCAATCCAAAAAAGTCGTGGGTTTGACTAAAACCTCAAAAATTTGAATACCACAGGGACCATTTTTGCAATTTTGTCTAGCTTTTATTATTAAAAACTATACATTTTAACCTTATTATATGTTATATATTAATTACTTTATTCATTATACATAATTATCTTATTTAAAAATATGTTCATGTATTATTTTTAGGAAATTACATTTTTAAATAAATCTAATCAACACCTTCAAATAAAACACCAATATTGAATATATTACATTGTTACGAAATTACAAAAGCATTTAAATATGACATTACATTACTAAATAAGCATTAAACAACAATACAAATTAAGCACACATTTATACATAAATTAATAAAGTACATACTTTACATGACATTGTATATTGGTTGAGAATTTCAACAATTTCTTCGACTATGATCAGGTTGGTGGCATAATCTATATTTGTGAGGTTCGTCGGGGTGCTGAATGTCCATCTCATTACGAAAACGGTTTAAACGTCTCCGACCTTGATGAACAGAGAGTTTCGAGTAATCTGTTTGGATCTTCCAATCTGACTCTAACTAATAATCAACGTGAGAAAGCGGTACAAAAGCAAAATTATATTGATGTTTATACGTCGTTGTAGTGTACACATTATTCACAACAAAAAGAGGGTTATCATATATATTCCGACAAACTAAAAGAGCATGAGTACACGAGAATATTTCCATTTTCCATTTTCCATATGTGCATGTTTGTTGAAAATAATGGACAATATGTGTATTTCCTCCAGGGCCATTTATTCGTAACTTTGTAACAATTATGTAGACGCCTTCATTGTGATCAAACCTGGTTAAATTATGGCTTTGTGCATGAGTGTCCCAGTTACAAAATAGACACCACATATGTGACAACCCGAAATTTCCATTCTGAATAAACCATTTGAAGCCAATAGAAGTAGAACAGTTACAGTGAAAACTCAGATTTCGAGTATAAGTTTGGTAGTTTTCAGGATTTTACACTTAAGGAGATATTAGGAGAGTGGATGCACTAGGGTTTTGTGAAACACTGTTATTCCAAGACTCTAGGACATTAGAGTTCGTTCCAGGAATACAAATATTTTCTGCCAAAAATATCTCAGGACTATAAATAGAATTATGAACCAAATTGGTTCATTTGTTGAATTCCATTTAGAGAAAAGTCAATATTCTCTCTCACGGATCTTCAGGTTTTCATCCCAAATCGTGAGTATACTTCTCTAGTTGTTTTATAATACTTTTTATAAGCTTAATAACATGGATTACATGTCAAATATGTGAGATCCGGGAGTTTACCGCCCAAGAACGTTCTTGGGGAGTAAACTCCATTTTAAGGTCCTTAAGGGTTCCAATGACCCTCAAAGCTTTAGAACTCGAACTAGAAGCCTCTAATTCATGCTTTAGACCATAAAACAATTAGGAACCATGGCTAGAAGTGAGTTCACGGCCAAGGAGCTTCTTAGGCCGTGAACTCCCAGTTTTAAGTGCCAAAATGCTTTGAAACACTTCCTAAGGCTTAGACTTAAATTAGGACATGTACCCTAAAGTGTTTATAGCCTAGAAAACATAAGAAATCACAAGGAAAAAGGAGTTTACGGCCAAGACAAACTCTTGGGCCGTAAACACCCATAAAGGGGTCAAATGACACCCTAACTCCTTCCTTAAGCCAAGAGACAAATTAGGACAAGTACCTTAGTGTGTTTGGGGCTAGCAAACACCACTAAAGCACCAAGAAAAGAGATTTTATGGCCCAAGATATTTTAGGGCCGTGAACTCCAATATATGGTGCCAAATGGTGTCATAATTCATCCTAAAGCCTTGAACAATTGCCTAGAACATATCCTATGTGAGTATGGGACTTGAAAGCATCATAAACACCCTCCCAAGGGAGTTTACAGCCATAAACTCCAAGGGATTATGTGTTGGATTAGTGTCTAAGTCCATAACAATTTTGGTATGTACTTGACCCGATGGTGCATGGTCCTTTTGGGTTGCCTTCACTAAAGCAACTTGATTGGAGAAATAAATAAAGAGAGAGAGGTTATTATGATTTATTAATATGTTATAAGAATAATATATTAAAGGAGAAATCATATTTTCTTAATTAATATTGGTCAATAATTAATTAGGAATTAATTTTGTGATCAAGTGTAATTAATTAAACTAGAGGGGCTGAATTGTAATTATGTGATAGTTACAAAATATGGTAATGGTTATCCTAAATATGGGTTGAACGAATTCAAGGAGATAAGGATCCTTGAAATCATCCAAAGGATAAAGGATAAGGGTTTTCAAGGCTTATCTTATGGTTGCTTTGTGGATAAGCAACTAGATAAGGATAATGACTGAAACCCTATCTCTACACCTATACAAAGACCCTAAGGCCTTAGAATTCGTGTACTTGTTCCCAAGAAGTCCTAAGGACGAATTCTAACCTCTCTCCTCTCTCTTTATACCTTCTCCATTTGCTCTTGGTGTTTGTAAGCCATTAGAGGAGTGACACTTGTGACTCTAAGCATTCCAAAGTCAATTCAAGGTGGAATTAGGATTGTTATTGCTATATAACAATCAAGGTATGTTCTTAAACCTTATTATATGTTAATATCGATTTCCATATGCTAGTATTAGGGTTTGAAGTCTTGGATTCAAAGCATGTACAATAGAGAAACCTAGATCCAAGCATTAGGGTTTATATGAGCACATAGGATGTCTTATGACCAAAACCCATCAGTGGTATCAGAGCCATTGGTTTGGTTTCAATTGTATGAACTTGATATATTAGGGTTTATTGCCAATAAACCCTAGGAGGCTAGTTTTTTTGAGATTAGGGTTTGCAAACCCTAATTTGCAAGAGTTTGAATAAGATCTTCAAATCCTTTCCTTAAACCCTTAAATTTCGAAATCTAGGGTTTGTTATAATCCCTTGATTTTCGAAATTTGCCTCCTCCCCAAGATAAGATCCTAATTTTTAGGATTTGGATTATCCCATATCTTGTAATTATGCTCTAGTTGTTATATATGGTAATTCAAGATCTTGCATTATCCATCCATATTTTCGAAATCTATATAGATATTTAAGGGATTAGGATAACTTAAATGTATAAATGGTAATTATCCTCATTATTTAGATAATCCCTTATGATTTAATAATTAAATTAATAGTCTAATTTAAGATAATTATTAAATCAAGAGTTTTAATATTTAAAATTTTAATTTAAATGTCATAAATTCGAAATTTTAAGATAGATTAAAACTAAATTGTTTTGAAATGTTTCAAAACTTTCCCTCAAGTTTTGGAATTTAAAAGTTGATTAGGAATATTAAATTCTATAACCCTAGTTTTGAAAAGTTCAAATACACCCTTATGGTTTTATTAATTAATTAAGAAGTATAATTAAAAGAGATTTAATAAATCCATAAAAGTTTAGGTTAACCATTTAATTGAATTAAAAGTGTAATTGTTAAAGTTAACCACATAGTATTTTAAAAGTATGAAATGCACCCTATACTATATATATAACATTAAAAGTCTAACATTATATATATGTATGAGTAAAAGTCAGTCTTACCGTTAGTAGGCCTCATTCACGAAGTTGGTCTATAAGGGGTGTTTAAGGAAATTGCCTATAAAATGGCGATTGAATGGGTATCCACTCTTACCCACCGCACTCTTGACTAGTGGAGGGTCGTTAGCCGAACGGGTAGGATAGGACGAAACCTTCCATTATAAGTATAATGAAATACAAAGTAACTAAATGTTTTTCAAATTCCCAATCTTAGTTACTTAGGAAAAGTGAATTGATGCAATTCCATGAAATTACACTTTGTGCCCTTGCAAAGACGTTAGTGGAGCGTGTGTGGTTTACCGGCACACTAAATGGTTCTAAGCAAAGGTAGCAAAGGGTAACTCAATGTTTGTCATAGTTCGGTGGAGCGTGTGTGGTTTACCGGCACATCGAATAGGTGACTGTAACATGTGAGGGCACCACGCAACTTTGCATGGTTATTCACACCCGCTTTGTGATCCTCGGCATCCCAGTCACAAACAAGAGGGGCACATCGAGAGTTAAACATGCCATTGAAATGTTCAATGAATCTCAAAGGATCTAGGAGTTTTCATAGATTTAAAACTTAAATTTCTTTTTCGTTTTTCGTGGTGGAAATTAGTGAATCGTCATTCACTTACCTTCAAATATTCTGCAATTAGGGTTACGGCATCCCTCTCCCGAGTTGTAAAATATTGTGTTGGGTCCTAGCCTTAGTATTTCATTTGGGTGATTTACTAAGGACTTAATCGATCAACTAACTTGAATTTTGTTTGTCCTGTTTTGAAGATGTCAAAGTTCGACAACTATGATCTTCCCAAATCTCGTGGAACAAGCATTCCACATGAAGATGATATTCCACGATTCGATCGAGGAACAAGAAATCATGCTTCACTTCCTCCTCCTCCTCCAATTATTCTCCCTAACCCACAAGATTGTAAAATTGAAAGGTTCAATATCACTCAAACCCTTTTGGCAAGTAAACATAAAGAAGGAAAGTCGGTGTGTGCACATGTCCTAGGGATGGAGTCACACATTGATAGGTTAAGTATGATGGGATCCGTTGTTAGTGAAGAGATGGCTGTTGATTGGGTTCTTCAGTCACTTCCCAACTCATATAGTGAGTTCGTAAGAGAGTACTATATGATGAACCACGACGTGACCCTTATGGATCTCACCTATATGCTTATTGCTGCTGAATCAGCAATGGTTTGGCGCAATAGAAAAGAAAATTTGATTGGTGAATTTGCCTTCAAGACCTCTATGGATATAGACAATGGCAATGAAAGACATGCAATGATCGAAAAGTTTGATCATAAGAGAAAGGCGATGTCTGAAGTAGTTCCATGTGTTGTTCCAAAAGAGTCAATTTGCTTTTATTGCCAAGAGAAGGGGCATTGGAGACGAAGTTGCCCTATTTACCTAAGAGATCTAAGAGATCTAAGAGATGGGAGAGTCAAAAGTATGACTACGCTTCAGGTAAAATCCACTATCTAACTCCATTAAGTTCTTATTCATTGATTCTTAATACATGATGTGATAAGATTGCATTTGAATGTTTTGCAGGATCGATGAAAAGAAAGGAAGCTTGATGAAAGAGCAAGATGAGTCTAATCACAAGGAATGGATCTTGATCGCATGGACTTGAAGATTAGATTTTGAGCTTAGATAGTTATGATAGAGTTGTTAGAAATTTTCTTTTTGAAATACATAGTTTTCAATTGATTTTGCATTGTAAGGACAAATGTTTTTCCGCTGCTTTTATAAATAAAATAAATTTTGTTTGACTTATTTATTTATTTGTTTACTTCCTTGCAATGAAATCGTTATGAAAATTGATGTTTGCATATTTCTACAACGAATGGATATGATTCTTAGTTATGTTATTTATGGGAATGTCGAGAATTTACCAAATAGGGAGAGTTTCTTATCGCCCAAAGTTTCAATTGGACTGAAATTTGGAATCACGCAACTTGGTTGCATGATGAATGAGAAATTTCATATTTGGAAATTAGACAAATTCGTTGACAAAGTGTCAAGTGAAGGACTAGGAGATCGAGTAC